ATCGACAGTGATCAACAGTTTGTGAGAATTTGTTGAATAAAAAGAACTGCCTCTACAGTAAAAGGTTTAAACTTCGACATATAAATATGTTTAATATCCTTGATGATGCAAGAGTTTATATTCACCGTAACTGCTTGGCAGCGGACGTAGAGAGCGGCTGCATAGAATTTTTCCGTCTATTCATTTTATTGCTCCATTCGAAAAGTGAAATCGTAAAGATTAGATATGTCAGATACAATGTACGCACTTACTTTAATCTCTCTACTGCCCACATATTTCAAAGAATTCCAACTGTATGATGAAAATGTAATTCTGAAATAATATACGAGTTGTGTGCGGCCAACGTGTGCGATCTCCACGTCCACATGTGTGAATGTTGCGCTGTAGCTTTATATTTGTATAACTGGCGGCGGTAAAACGAGAGTTATGGCCGTGTTTACTCTGCCTAGCATAGCGTAGCATAGCAACCGGCATGACATGACCTGAAACTTAAATCCTTGATTTTTACCATCTGAAGTGGTAATTAAATTGGCGTCCTGCTTATGGTGAATAATAAGGAGAGTTTTGCCAGTAGTTGCCACGTTTGGCAGGCGGCTTGGCAACCGTAATTAGGCTTTTATGATATTAAAACAGAGACAGAATCTCTCGACCATTAAGTTTCTTCAGTCGTCTCTTAAGACATACACAAGAAAGGTAGAGGACACATTTAATGCTGGGGCCACACACCAAGTACATGAAACATACTACAAATGCACATAAAAACATAATTTTAGAATAACTTTCTAAGTAGAAGAATAGAAGATACTCCTCTTGGAGTTCCATGGCACATCTTTTACTCTTGTTAAATGATGTATTAAGCCTCTCGTTTAAGTGATTGTTTTGGCTTACTAAAACAACACATACATACATATAATATAACCATCACGTCTGTTTTCCATTAAAACAATACATTCACCAGTATCTTTATGGTAGATGTATGTAGAATAATGGTAACAGAATCGATGTAGAGAGAGCTAAGTAAACGAAATAAAAACAAAGTCCAGATATACCTTCCAAAATGCAGTTCATTTGTTATCAAAAATTAAAAAGGATTCTAATATTTGTTTGCTTATTTCGGTTTACTGTTTGTTTTTCCAAACTTTCATGTTTATAATATTTGTTTACACTGTGATATTAGTAAAACAATAATTATTACATCCACTACTCGTTTCGAGTCCAAACATACAAAAGATGTATACATTACTCAAAAACATACGTACGGCGCTAATGAAAATGTTTATAATATTTTGGTAATGTAATATATTAATATTATAAGCACCTGAAATAGTGACAATGTGATGCAAATAATTTTATTATATTAATCTTATATTCACTATTTTTCTATATATTTTAATATTATCTACCAACATTTAATGTGTATTTTTTTATATCACAAAGGTGGTAAACAAGCAAGCAGTGGCAACAAGCCCGTGTGATGGTAAACGGTCACTGTAGCCTATAGACGTCTGCAACACCAGGCGTCCATAGGCTACCGTAACCGTTTACCATATTTTAATATACTCTTTTTGAAGAAGCGAAGAAGAATGAAGAGGAAGAAAAAAAAATCAAAGTTCTAAATAAATAACAATGATTTTGATAGCAGTTTTCAATAAACTATGATTAAATAAACTTTAGAGTTCCTTCGTGTCTAAAGTTAACAGAGTTTTATTGAAACACCCGGTAATAAGTTGTGTGGCAGTTTCAATTATTCTGCGAGTAAACACGGAAGTTGGCGTATACAGATCTACGCATATAGTCGTAGCTGCGCTGCCTGTAGTTATTTGATGGAAAGCAGAAATTATAAAGTATCTCATACTTCAGAAATCGCTACTTTCAATGAAAAAAATATTTTATATAAGTACTTTCCACATTGTGCAATTAGAACAGACTAGTTACCTCGTCTGCGTGGCGAGGATAACAAGTGTTTTTTCTTATTTACAAATACTACATGTGTATCAAAGAATATAACTATTTACTTATATAGAATTGATATAAGTAAATATAAAGTGTCACCCAAGTACATTTTTATCATTTTCAATACCACTCAAACCCCATGAATACTTTCGCGCGCCGGCCGTCCAAAATCCACGGCAATTATGCCTTACTGCCAAATCTGTTTAAGTTGAGAAAGTTTATTCGGTCCCTTGATTATCTTTCTTAACTCAACAAAGCCGTCATTTAAAAGATGGAGCTCATCTGCGCTGCGGTGTTGCGCCGAGAGGCGGTGGTGGGCGAGGGCATCTCGACCGTGTCGGCGACTCCGTAGCGCGCGCCTACAAACTCTTCTGTCTAATGAATTAACCTTTTTACACGAACGGTTTTTCCACAACAGAAACTGATTCATTCTTAAACCATTATAGTCGTTCCTAAAAAAATATCAGCGTTTTATTTCCTACATTAATATTCGTTATCATATCAAAAATTCGTAGATTAACACTTACAGAGTTCCGCGACTGACTCTTGGCCACAGCAGAATATCAGTGTTTTGCTCTTTTAAAAGCAATAAACTGAGCTGTGACCATTTTGTGTTACTATGGCACACGCATGAAGGAAGAGTAAGAAAGGAGATTGTTAGTTTATATATTTTGTTTTTGTATTTTTTTTTATTTGTGCTTTTTTATTTTGATTCCTTTGTCTCTTTTGCTGTGTATTATATGTATGTTTTTTTTTTATTGTAATTTGTGTGCTGTAAGTAATGTAAATAAATTATCTATCTATCTATCTATCTATCTACAGCATTTTTTTTAATCTAACTCGTATAAAAACACATGGAAGTTATCAATAGTCATTATTTATAATAAACTATAGCTGTTTCTACTTACATTTGCTTGACTTCATCGGGATAAAAGTAGTTCATCTTCTTCTTCATTGATTACGACTGGTGACTCATTCCATAATTATAACAGTAAGGAGTGCGAACTGTCTCTACAAGCAATGGATTATAACTGGTGTTTCATAGCCAGCCCCCTAGAGCCAAGCTTTTTTTGCAACTTAGAATTACAAACAAGCTGACGGTCCACCTGATGGAAAGTGGTAACCGTAGATCTATAAACATGAGCAGTGCCATGGACATAACAGAGTATACTGTATCGCCCATGATACCCCCATGCGTTGCCATGATAGTTTCTGAGGACTCAGGTAATATTCCTCTGTACCCTGTAAATTCACTGCCATTTCCCACCTTTCAAACCGAAACACAGCCATGCAAACTCGACTGCTTCACGGTAGAAACACAAATGGGACAGAGGTGCCCAAGCAAACTACTTTTATACAAAGTCTCCCTTTGGTGTAAGTAAGTAAGTAACAAACGAATTTCTCAATAAAATAATAATCACAACCAACTCTATGTTATTATACTCATATGTCAATGTCCACTTCCTTGTTTTTTCTTATGTGAACGATAAGTGAAATGATTCTATCATTAGATTCGTTATGTAATGACGCAATGAACCCGCTGGTAGATGGGCAGAGCAGCGTCGAATCAGCAACAGAAAGCATCCGCGGCGGGAGAATCGTCCCTGTAGCATGAGCCTAAACGAAGTTGATATTAATTGAGTTCTCTCTGCATTTATTGGTTTAACCGAATTGGCAATAAACTTCTATTGCCCTTTTGTTTCACTGTTATTTATTGGCCGTGGTCATTTAAACTGTATGAGGATGAATGGCGACGACTCAATTCGAGGCTTGTAAACGATCTCGCATTAAGTCTGGCGTTTTCACATTCTCTGAGCAATTCCCTAAATGGCGTACTAAATAGAGAAATATTTCAGGCATACCTATGTTAAACGATAAATGAGCACAGCCACGATTATTATTTGAATATTTTTTTGTATGTGCCTATCATCAGAATGAGTGATGGCAGTCCATTCGAACAATGCTCGACTCGGTCCGGGGGTCCAAGATCGAATTTCAACATAAACCTCTAATGTTTGGACTATTTAAAAATTATTTTCACTTGCTTTGTGATGCACGTAAACCCATCAAACAGTAAGTAGTGGTCTTCGAATACAATGGCGGTGGCTTGGTAACTCTTGACATCAGTGAGGATACAGTAACTACCCTCGCATGAGTACTTTGAAAGGCAGGATATGGTAGTGAAGTTAGAGGTGTGAAATTTACCAGAGGGTGACTTTGTACAAAAGTCGATTGCTTGGGTACCTCTGTCCCATTCGTGTTTCTACCGTGAAGCAGTTGTGTTTGCATGGATGCCTGTAAATTGACGCGATATTCCACCCTGCAAACCTAAATTTGAAGGGTGAGATATGGCGTGAATTTACACGGTACAGAGGAATAACATCTGTGTCCTCAGGAATGGCAACATGGGAATGGCATGAGGGATATCATGGGCGAAACAGTATACTCTGTTATGTTCATGGTACTGCTCATGCATGCATACGAAGATTACCACTTTCCATCAGGTGGACCGTCAGCTTGTTAGCCATTCTAAGTTGCATAAAAAAAAAGTAATTTCCCTAAAAAAGTATCATCATATCGTCATCATATCAGCTTTTAACTATCCACTGCTGAACATAAGCCTCCCTCTAGTTTTGCCAATAGTTGCCACGCTTGGCAAGCGGACTGGCAATCGTAGTTAAGCTTCAAAAATGTTTAAAGAGGGATGCTACTACTCATCTCTTGCCCGCCTTAGTCATCTCTTACGACACCCACGGGAAAGGAAAGATGGCCTGTTCCATGCCGAGACTACACGATAAAATAAAAAAGGATAGTTACATTTAAATAAATTAATATTTACAACACACCAATACGTGCTGTGAATATGAATACCATCACTACAATAGCGGCGCCCCGCAGGGTCACACGTGCGGAACCTCTTATCTCCGTTTCAGTTGTAATTTCAAGAAATTCCTTCGGAGAGATCGCTTGCGTTACACGAGCCATACAATTTATGCGAAGTTTCATGTTTCTAGATCTAGCACTTATACCTGCCGTTTTTGTTTCAGAACACATACAAACTTTGGCCGAAGGATTTGGTGAGTTCAGTTGGAATTTTATTCTTATTCTACTGAATTAGATTTTATTTTGCAGAAGTCCATATTACTGCTTGTTCGATTACAATTATTTTGTTTAGTTCCGCTACTATTAGTATACGTGCGACTGCCAATCAATCCACCTCGAAGGTTGGCAGTCGATTTGAAATTATTTTATTTATTTATTTATTTATTCATTAGTACAAATATGTGTACATGGCGGACTTAATGCTAAAAGCATTCTCTCACAGTCAACCATAGGCAAGTGTCAGAATATTCGAATGCGGTACTAGTAATTATTGATATACATACATACTAAATTTACATATATAAACGAATAAATATATATAGATAACAAATATACTTACACATATATGACATATACTATATTATACACGAAATTGAGAATAATATAAAGTACTTAGTAAATTAAACAAAATAATTCTATTCGGATAAGCAGTAATATCATAAATGTAAAAATAAGTCTGTTTATGTATTACTATTAAATCCGCTAATAGGCTTAACCAATCACTGCAATTTGGCATACACGTACATATGCAATGGAGAAACATATCCTGCTCTCATAAACGAAGTTGCGTGTAAGAGCTAGTCTATACTCTGTATTAATATTGTAAGGAGGCAAGATCTGATTGTTTATATTAGATAAACTCAATAACTACTAAACTGATTTTAAAAACATTTACACCTATGGAGAACTACATAATCAGCGAGTGATAAAGGTATGCAAATAAATAAATATAGTAATCACCACAAAAATCACAATAATGTATTAAAAAAAAATTGCGTATTAAAGTTACGAGTACTATAAAAGATTAATTTATCATTTCATGTACCGGTGCGAAGCCGGGGCGGGTCGCTAGTAAATAATAAACAGAACTACCGACAGGCGGCGCTAACTTGGAATTCGCAATACCGCTGACAAATCTTTAATTCTTTATTCTCAAGTCCACATCCAAACATAACCACAGATTCCTGTCAGGTTTTCAAAGGTACATTGGAAAAAATCCCTTTCAGGGATAAGTCCGCCGATGTTATTCCGTATTTTACGTATCTTTATTATCCTTTATACCACACTTTATAGTACAATAAAGAGTTACCGACTAACAAAATCTATTCGAAGCCTTTATTACATTTAGGTATATTTTTAAATTACGGCCTCGTTGCCAGGTGGTATACATACTTAATCTGGCGGACCCGCTTAAACTCTTTGTGTCTCTTTTTTGTAACGCTCCATGATGGTAAGCACTGTTAATAATTATTAATCCGAGCGACATCAGTAACTTCACCCTTTTCTGTGTTGGATTATAAACATTTAATCATCTAAAAGTTTTATGTATACAATTTGTCCCCAAAATTCATTACGCTTTACTTAATTAAAGGTAATGGCGGCCATTTGTTGCTAGCAAACCCGGGTGCATTGTATTTTGTTATCTCTTATGTTTCATTTAAACCAAGTTTCATTATAAAATCTTATACCTGCAGAAGTCAGAAGCGGGCTCTTAACCTATTAATCTGTAACCTTTCCTAGTAAGGCGATCAATTCTAATACTGAAATGTATCCCAGAAGATATAACTCAATCGAAGACATATTTTATGTTCCAATGCTCTTAATATAAAGAAAATAAACTAAATTGAATCAAATAAGGCCTACTGGGAATAAATAGTTCCTTCTTACTGATAAGCTTCCCTTTGTGCTTTATTTTTGCTCTATGTACTTATATTACGTAATACATTTAATCATATTTGTATTTTAGAATAAAATTTTAGTGTTTACATTGTAATATAGGAATAACAAATGCTTAGGTTGGAAGATGTGTTCCTCCCTGACGTAAGAAAAATGGCGACTTTATGAAATGATATGAAATGAAAGTAAATGATGTGAAATAAAATGAATTTATTTTGCTAGAATGAACGCAATTTTAAATGAAGGAAGTTTACATTTCCTGTATATATTTTACCTCTATGGTCGGCGTGCAAATTTTTAACAATATGAGAAATTTACATATATTATTTTTTACATTTAGTCCTTACCATCTTCATTTGAAACTAACAAAAAGTAAATTCAGTCGTTTGCAAAAATTAATATTAAAATCGGCTCAGAATAAACAAGAATGCCGCGCAATACAAGAAAAAGTACACACGAATTGAAAATCTTTCGGATGTTACTGAATAATTTTTTTAGACTCATTTCTTTATAACTATGTTTCGTTATGAGGTCGGTAGGTAATCATTCTCAAGAGGCCATTATAATGCTGTAAGGCAGGTCTTTAAATAGATTTCAGGGGATAACGCCAACATCGGATCGTCTCGACCATTAGCCACCGTGTTCAGGCCGCTACTATTATTCACGGCGAAACTGTGATTTGAATAAGAAAGCTCCTTATTATACGCTCGCGTTCTGGAGGTAGATTTTCATACAATACGCACGGGGCCGGCCGATCAAAGAACAATTCGACCCGGGGAGCGGTTAGTTTTTCTGATTCCTTGTCGGAAATTGTTCCCGGGATGAGGAGCTTCTTAGTTGTTACCGTAACTTTTCGCTTGTTAACATTTGTAACACGCTCACGATCGACGTGTCAAAACATAATGTATTACAGTCAAACGGAACTAAGTTTGGGGACTTTTAGTTTGCAGTCGTATTTTAGCCGGTTTTATATTTCATATTATTATTATTATTATTTCATAAAGGTAGTGGCCTATGATTTTTTTAAGTACCTTCATGACTCAACATATTCGTCAATAGGGAATTGATTACAATGATTTTTCATAATCAGATAGTATTTACTCGCGTGTTAGCGTCATACTAATATGGTTACAATATATTTTTCAAAATCTTTAAGTATATTATTGTATACATAAATAATTACATAAAATAAAAAGTTGTAACTTATTGAAATTTTAGATTAATAAATGCCGACCAAATGAAAACCAAACGAATGAGTCAAATGGAAATCTTTCAACGTCCTTTGGAAGAAATGTTCTGCTGGACAAACTAGACACTTATTTTAAATGCACTGTCGGTACCTAACGTGATGACAATTTTTTGCAGGTAAATAGTATCTATATACTTACTTCTTTATTACCGACGTTTCGACGTGGATAGCACCACGTCGTAATCACGACAGGATAGTGTATTTAAAACATGTGTAAACAACGCGAAAGTTTAAAAATAAGACATTTTCCCTCACAGAGATAGTCTACAAAATGTGTTTGTCATTTTGTGGACTATCTCTGTGGAGCATCCTATACTAATTGGAACTATGGGAGGCACGTCTTTTGGTTTTGAATACTTTTCTGTGCTACGGTAACCACTTACCATCAAGTGAGTCGAATGCTTGTTTGCCCCTCAGTGGTACAAAAAAAAAACATGTGCAATGTCATTGAAGGAACTTTAAAAATCTTGTAATGGTTTCATTTTCCTCCCGTAATTAACTACTATATCGTATCGAAACAACTCTCGCGCATGTAACATCGTATCGTATGTACTCGTATGGATACAAACGAGTACTTGTCGCTTAATATACGCCAACTATATATATTAAGATTTGTTGAGATAAAAACATGTAAAAACTTTATATATATGAAAAATATACATCCCTCACGTCCGTCCCAATCGGAGTTCGAACCCCGTGATTGTGGCCGTAATAAAAGTTTTTATGGCGCTCGGGAAACGTGCCCAGCGCCAGTCACTGCCCTTCATACAAACATCGCTCTCGTCTTATATTTTCACGCTCCATTCAACATACAGATGGCGATCGACAATCGATCGTTGTCAACGCACTAATCGCATCGGTGAACCGCGCCCTGTATGTGTTTAGTAACCCCAGCCCCGCAACGATGTTTTTATAATCACAGATGAACGAAAATGTTTACTGAAAGCATGTTACGGAAATATATTCTCATCTGTCAAATGACAGCGGAGACGGGCACCGTGTAATCTATTTATTATTTCTAATATTAGCGGCACTCCTGGGAATATAATTCGACCCAATATTTTTGTACACATTTTACGGAGAAATGGCAGGACATTGAGATAGTAGTGAATGGATAAACCATTGAGATCTACCCACAATAGAAAAGCAATTACTTTTTATGCTACAGGAAATGAAGCCGGACGATCCTTCTAATACAAAGTGGTGAACGCCGTTGGTAGATGTCATGCATTGTATGTGTTTATGCAACTTGAAATGATAATCAAATTGATTGAAAGTGATAATCGTCGCATATAGATGTGCATCAGCATCATGGATATCACAGAATAAAGATATACTATGATGCTCAAGATGTCATAACTTCACTGCCACATTTTACCCTCTCTTGGATAAGTCGTTCACGGCATTAATATCTATAATACTAATACATAACTTATATGGACAAGACATTCAAAACTTGGTAAATGTTACCTGTTAACGAGCGGCCATTATCACGCGTGCATTTTGTACTGAAAACATATGCATATTTTAGAATATATTAATGTACTTATGTTATTATACTATAATAGCTGTAAAACCATCCAATGCAAGTAGTAAGCCTTTGTAATGTTTTGTTTAAGACATAATGAATGGGAAAGCCGACGCCGTCCCGCTCGCGACCACGCGACGCCGCCAATTAGCGCTCAAGGCGTCACATGTTACGACGTCTCCGTACGTGCTCCGGCCGCAAACAGTCCGGCAAGGGCGACCACGCGCGCACCCACACACATACACACAGACGCGTACATGCCGCGTATTCATATAAACGTAACCCCAGAGAAAAACTCTTTTAACTACCTGCGTACTTTCTAATTAAATCATAATTAAGAGATTAGTGCTTTCAATAAAATTTACTAGTCCCATCCCATCGTACTATCCCAAAATAGGACAGATTTAAATCTACAAGCAATAGCAAGATATTGTATAAACATATTCAAAATTACATGCGAATCATCACACTAGAGTTGTAAACCTTCTCCTTTATAAAGAGGTCTGAAAATATATTAAACA